ACATATGTGTAAATACCAAATAGTTTCTCTAGTGTGAGAAACTGAAAGTGTAAATAAGGACTAAAAGGTATAATAGATAATGTGAAAATAGGAAGAAAAGGGGAAGGGGAAGTGGGAAGGGTAGGGGAAACGCAAGAAGGAAATGGAATCAATATGAGAAATGAAAAAATGGAAACAAAGTCTCTGTAAATAGGGAGGGATGGAGGGACTGAAGGGAGGGCAGGGGAATGGGGAAAAAATAAGAACCAAGAGAGATTATGTAAAGGTGCAAATTTCCAATAAAGATGAAACTGCATAAAAATTGTCTTTTTTATCTTACTAACGAAATTTTACTTCTCATTAAGAAGTAGTAATCTGACCATCCACTTGTCAACATTTTGTATCTTGAAAAATTGAAGACTTTTTTATACCATTCCAGTACGAACAACAAGATACTAAATTATATTTAAAAAATCAAAGTCATTTTGGCTAAAATTACATACCTTAATCTTGGCCATCAAAGCATCAATGGAAATTTCAAGATCCTTGATCTGTTTATTCACCTCTGGTTTTCCATCCTTTAATGCACTTACTACTTCATTAAACCTGTCCAGTCGCTTGTTCAGTGTGCCCACCTTAACCAGGCCATCAATGCTGGAAAGAAGCCATTCCACCAAAGATCAACTTCACCATTAATGCTTTATGTACATTTCTTTCATTAATAAAACTGCTGAACACATATTACTAAATATGATATTTCACTCTGTTTTCATTATTATTTAGCATTCTCTTTTTCAGATGTCTTACTGAGGGTGAAAAGAATTAAACATGGGTAGGAATGACACTGATGCCTGTCTTCTATGTTTAGACTGAAAACCAAACATTCAAACTTGGAATTTTAAGAAGGTTTCTAATAATCTCTGAAAAGATGTGATGCTGTTTAATTATTCATACACGCAAGTTTAATAGTTATTCATATATGTAAGTTTAAAAGTCTAAATTAATACTAAAAATTTAAATTGGAAAGTTTTTTAAAAATTAAGTTTATAGTGAAACATGGACAATCTTGAAAATTATGGTCAAAATATTAATATTTTTAAAACATCAATTTAACATTAAGAAACTTAAATCACTAAAAAAAAAAACCCTGAAATAACAGCTCCTCTCAATCATTTGTTTCAACCTGCAAAAGTATTTATTTACATTTTTATAAGCCACTCCAAATCTTATAGAATGAGGCAAGAAACATAAGTTAGCTAGTTTCAAATAAATATTACAAATCCTAGACTAAAATATTTTACAAACAGCACACTTTACAAAGATCTAAACTGCTTTCTTTTCATTATGACTTCATTGCCATTTTATATTGGGATATCTAGGTCTGGGGGTTGTCGTCTGAGAAAGGATCTCACTATGTAGTCCAGACTGGCCTCAAATTCTCGATCCCCCTGTCTCAGCCTCCCTGGTGCTGGGATTACAAGCATGCACCACCACGCCCAGCTGTGACTCAGTTTCATGGGGTTATTCGGGTACTATTTATCTTACCGAGGTTTGTGTCTCCTTTTGCAAAGCCACATCCGAATAGTTTTTTGCATTTTAATGCAAGCTTCTGCTCTGTATTTTATTTTGTTTTTCACTAAGAGTAAAACAAAATAATTTTAAAATTTAGCTGAAATTGGACAAATATCTATTTTTTTAAAAAACTACTCATTTCCACAAATGCAATCCTCAAGCAATATGAAATCTTTTTTTTTTTTGGTACCAACGATCGAACTCGGATCCTTCCGCTTGCAAGGCAGGCGGCGGAACCACTGAGCTAAATCCCTGGCCCACAATATGAAATCTTGATGAACACATTATACCAGACATGAAAATCATGAAGTTTTAAAATTCTCTTGGTTTCTTTTTTTTTTTTTTGGTATTGGGGATCGAACTTGGGTCCTTGCACTTGCACAGCAGGCAGTGAAACCACTGAGCTAAATCCCCGGCCCCTCTTGGTTTCTTAATACTTCTTAAAAATAAAAAGTGTGTCAAGGGTGTAGCTGGGTTCATACTTTAAATTCATTATTTTCTTATTATGCTGCATTACTGACTCCCAAACTGTGCTATACAGCATTTGTTCTATTCAATGTGAATAGATACCTCTTTATGCAAGGATTTACCTGGAACATCAGCGTAGGAAAGACAATACACCTCCTTTTGGAAATTCACAATGAACATCCTGGGTTAGGCCTCTGAGAATCCTACAGTAAAGGAATCTTTTCAACTTCAAGTACCCAGAACTTCCCTGACTGATCTGACCTTGAAAGATTCTTTTGGAGCATCCTTATTAGCATTCTGCAGGCACACCTGTCTGCTTCCTGACCTCAGTGCATCTCCACGATGCCGGCCACAAACACAGCGGACAGTGCAAGTAACGTCAACAGAATGTGTTCTCCATCGCAATGCAATATATAAAAGTAAAAGCATTGAACTACCATGACAAATATCCTTATATTTCACTTGGGAAATGAAGGGAAACAGAGGTTCAGTTATCTCTTTATTATACTTTTCTTTTATCCACAGTCACAAGTGTCTAACAAAGGATCTCAATAATAATCTTTGTTTTCGTGGTTCCTTTTCATTTAGCCAAATGATTTACTAAATCCTCTTCATGTACCTAGCACTATTTCAAGTACTCTTGTATGGGCAGCAATTATAAATTTAATGAAGTTATGGATTCCCAAATACAGTAGCCCCCAAAAATTAAAGGTTTGCCACAGACCTTCAAGTAATTCAACAACATTCTGCCCTCACCCCAGTGAGAACTAAAAAGTTGGGTACACAGGGTGGTGATGACTGCTGAAATCCCATTTACATGTTCTTAAAAAACATTTGAAGAACTCAGGCTTTGCCTACTATGAAAAGATGGCCAGGAAAGGCTTTAGTCTTGAGCTTGGGAGCTACTGGGGTTACAGAACGAGTGGGAGAAAGAAGATCCACTGAGACACTAGCAACAAAAAGCAAAGAATTACGATATTTGGAGGAGAAATCAATATAATTTGATAACTGACAAGATTTCAGGGGTAAGAAAAGAGAGAGAATTACAGTCTTGAAATTTCCGGCATGTGCACTGTAGATGGCAAGCAGGCAGAAAGAGGGAAGCTCAGGTTTACATCTGAGAGCCTGGGGATGGTGTTGCAAGTCAGGGGAGACAGAAAGAAAAAGAATAAAGATAGTGAGCTGTGTTTAGGACCTGATGAAACTAATACTCCAATAATATAGTCAGGTAAGGAAATAAGTGTCATAAATTCAAAAAATAAAGAAAAATCCAAAGTCTACAAAAGCTAGCTTATTACACACTACATTTGAGGAGTTAGGGACCCAGGGCCGGCTGCCCAGAGTTCCCGAGATGGCCTGGTGCAATCTGCAAACCATCGCAGTTCCAAAGTAACAAAGCTTAGGTGTGAGAGGATGCACTCACATTTGATGACAGAGAGCCCACACCACTGGACTTTCTTCCAGCGACTGCAGACAAGCCAGTGATTAACTCTCTTAACTAACTCTGCCAAGTGGTCGGGGTCCGACTTCATGATCTGATCAAATTCTGCAAACTAGAAGGTAATGTAATTTAGTATCAGCACTAAAAGATACATGTATTTAAACACACAGGAAAAATGAAATAAATAAATTCATATCCCAGACCCAACTTTCTGAAAATGGCTGTATGCCAGTTGCAGACACATCTCAGTGGGGTGGAGAGCAAACTGAAACATTTTACTGCCCTTTTCTTCCTTTCCTTCAGTATCATTTTTGGGAGGAAGGGCAAGTTACTTTTTGTTAAGTAGCAGATTCAGTAATAAAAGCAGAAAAACTTCCTCAGAGGATTGGGAAAGGTTTTATTGAGGAAAAAAAGAGAACAAATGTATCCCTGAGTCGGCTCACCCATATTCTCAGGTGTCCACGGACAGCCTTTGGTAACTGAGGGTCAGCTATGTCACATCAGGTACCACCAAAACTACTGTGTCTCTCCCAACCTCCGACCCCATTTGGGAAAAAGATTAAGAACTTGCTACTAAAAGAATGAACAGCACAAATAAAATTAATGAATAAAACATTATTTACCACCAAATTCCAAAATGATTTCTATCCATTTCCAAATATCCTACCAGAGTATTAAGGACATTACATACCAACTAATAAAGTGACATTTTGAGCTGAGTGTGGTGATGCATGCCTGTGATCCCAGCACTTGGGAGGCTGAGGCAGAAAGATCACCTCAAGATCAAGGCCAGCCTGGACTACATGGTGAGTTCAAGGCCAACCTGAACTACATAGTGAGACCCTGACTCAAAAAACCTAATTAAAAGCTGAGCTGGTCCCAGCACCTGGAAGGAAGCTCCC